AGAGAATTGGGGAGCCGTTAGATGTGGCCAAAGGGGTAGTATTCCTGGCCTCCAGTGAAGCGCAGTTCATAACCGGCACTAATCTGTTCATAGATGGGGGACAACAGTATAATGACACTCCTATGTAGACAATTACAGTATAATTAAATAACTAGAAATCATTGTTAGCAATTATTTAAATAAAAAATACAAACAAAGAATTTATTTTGAATACTGTATTTGTATTACAAAATTTGCAAAATTAAAAGTTTAAGTATCTATATTTTAATAAATTATAAATTCAATTATAAAATTAAATATATTGTTGGAGATATTCTATTAGTAATGTATTTATGAATTAATAAAACTTAGTTTTATTTTAAGCTTAAGGTTGATATTAAATCTTGAGATGATCTTCGAGATGAACCAAATCGCAGCTCAGATTCCATAGCCTTTCAGCACTTTTATCATCGGATCCGTTATCCCACAGCTTCTCCTCACGACAATTACTGTCAAAACAATTAAACATTACTTAAAAATTTACAAAAATATTAAAATTATATTACTTGTAATAAAGACCGGTCTCTCTGTCCAGACTTTCCTCGAGAGCGCAATACAGTGTTGTCTGACATCCCATTTCTGGTCTTAAATACAATAATGTAGTCATTGTATCGTAAAAAGCTTTCAACGATTTATTCTCCATATAGCGAGACCGATTGGTTTTGACAGGACCGGGATGTAACGAATATGTGGTCACTGGACTATTAGGGCCCAACCGTTTCGACAGTTCCCGTGAAAACAATATATTTGCCAGTTTACTCTGAGAGTAAGCGGTTATACCATTATAGGCACCATTCCTTAGGTTTATATTTTCAAAATCAATTTTTCCCATTTTGTATGCAACGGATGAAACGTTTATAACCCTAGCTTTGGGTGACTTTCGTAACAGCGGTAGTAATAAGAGAGTCAGTAGAAAATGACCTGAAATTAAAAAATAACAAATTCAGGTATTATATTTAAATTATAAATAAAGAAAAGTTATTGCAACAAGCAATAATGAAATACCCAAGTGATTGGTTCCAAATACCATTTCGTAGCCCTCTTTGGTCTGCCATTCGGGACACATCCCAAGTCCGGCGTTATTGATAAGTATGTCTATATTGGACTCATTTAGTGACACATTCTTCGCAAACTCGCGAACCGATGCCAATGAAGACAAATCCAGTTTTAATACATTTAAGTTTGCCTTTGGATTCTTGACGAGTATTTCGGTTATGGCTTCTTTGCCTTTGTCCACATCACGACATCCAATGATAATCTTATCAAATTATTTTTAAACAATTAATATTCAAATTAAAAATATAATTTTATTAATTCTCTTTAATATTAAAGGCAACAAAAAATAACCCATACTTTAGCGCCTCGTAATGAGAGGTGAAGTGCAGTCTCTTTGCCGATACCAGTGTTGGCACCGGTTATCACCACAACCTGACCATCAAGTCGTCGAGTGCTCTCACATTTATTCCTCCATCCGATAGCACTGGACAATAGCTCCGTAACCCCGCCGATCATTAAACTTATTTTACTCATTATTATATTTATGAATACAGTATTAATATATATTTGTACTTCACTTCACAAAAATGCACGTTAACTAAAGTAATGTTCAGCATTTATATTAACTCAACTGCAGTGCACTAAATGTACTGAACTTACAACTGATAAGCCTTGGAATGACTACCAGTAAGACTACAGTATTCTATGTTTATTATACAAGTATTACTGTAATAGCATTAATACTGTATTCCTAACTGAATATAATTTAGTGCATAAGTCCTAAAAATAACATCATAAGTTAATTTATTTTTAATTCTTATCATAACACATTTGTTTTTCAAATTAATTTATATTAAAAATGTGTTTTTTAATAATATTAAATTTTAAAACATTTAATAAGTCTTGTTCAATAGTTTAATAGTTATGATACAAAAATTGTTGATAACAATTATATGATTAAATTTAATACCAGCAATGTATTTGTTGAAAATTATTTATTAAAGCATTTTTTTGTAAATATATTCTAATTTATAAAATACAGAAATAAATACTTTAATACATAAATGATTGCATTTTTAAATTTAATAAAAATAATTTTATATAAAGATTTTATTTATTTTATATAAAAGTAGAAATAAATTTAAGTAGTAGATTCAAAATGAAATAAATTCATAAAACAGTAAAAATAAATTTATATAAAAGTTATATAATATTAGAGATTAAAATTTATATTAGATCTTGAGGTGATCTTCGAGTTGAACCCAATCGGAGCTTAGATTCCATAGTCTTTCAGCACTTTTATCATCCGTTCCGTTGGCCCACAACGGGTCCTGACGACAGTTACTGTCAAAACAAAGTTAACATTTAGTTTTCAAAATACGTGTATATTCAAAATGTACACCAAATATATTTTGTAACACTATTGCATCCTTTCGGTACAATTAAATACATTTGAAAAAATATTCTTATATTTATTATTTTTGAATGATTATAAAATGTCTATTTCTGAACAGTACAGTACAGTATGTTTGACTTACTTGTAATAAAGTCCGGACTCATTGTCCAACCTTTCCTCGAGAGCGCAATACAGTGTTGTCTGACATCCCATTTCTGGTCTTAAGTACAGCATAGAAGTCATTGTATCGTAAATGGCTTTTTGTGATTTATTCGCCATATTTCGAGACATATCGGTTTTGATAGGACCGGGATGCAACACATATGTATGCACAGTACTATTTGGTCCCAATCGTTTTGCCAGTTCCCGTGTGAATAATACATTGGCCAGTTTGCTTTGAACATAGGCTGTTATACCACTATAAGCACCATTCCTTAGGTTTATGTTTTCAAAATTAATTTTTGCCAAACGGTGGGTATTGGACGACACGGTTATAATCCTAGCTTTGGGTGACTTTTGCAAAAGTGGTAACAGTGAGAGAGTCAGTAGAAAGTGACCTAAAATTAAAATAATTTATATAATTTATTAAATACTGCATTATTGATAAATATTCATCAAGGTTAAATAAATATAATACCTAGATGATTGGTTCCAAATGTCATTTCATAGCCCTCTTTGGTCTGCCATTCGGGACACATCCCGACCCCAGCGTTATTGATAAGTATGTCTATATTGGACTCATTTAGTGACACATTCTTCGCAAACTCGCGAACCGATGCCAATGAAGACAAATCCAGTTTTA